GCCTATTCCGGAAATTTCACATTAATGGAATCATACAATAGATGGCCTTCTGTGTCTGGTTTCTTTCACTTAGCATAATGTTTTCAAAGTTCATCCAGGTTGTGACATGTGTCAGTAATTCATCCCCTTTTATGACTGAATAATTTTCCATTGTATGGATATGCCACCTGAAATTTATGCATTCATCCATTGATGGATATTTGGGTTATCTCTACTTTTTGGTTATTATGAATAATGCTGCTATGTACATTCATGTACACATTCTTGGGTGAACATTCATTTTCAATTCTCTTGGGTATATATCTAGGAGTGATATTCCTGAGTCCTGTGGTAACTCTGTGAATAACTGTTTTCCAAAGTGGCTGCACCAATTTACATTCCTACTGGCAACGTATGAGAGTTCCAATTTCTCCACGTCCTGGACACTTGTTTTCGTCAGTCTTTTTGATTACTGCGGTGCTAGCGGGTGTGAATCTCATTGTGGTTTTGATTTTCCTTTCCCTAATAAGCAGAGATTTCCCCCCTTCCTTCCCACAGCTCCCTTTTGGCTTCTCTCTTGATCTTAGATTCATGTGAATAGGTAACACACTGGGGAGCCCCAAAACAGAAGGTCTGTACCTTCAGGAAGCTTCTATCAAGCATTTTGTATTTTGATAAGTAGGACTTTGAACAGAGGGAATCTGAGGCATTTTTTCAGGAGAAGATACACCAGGGATGAGGTACACCACTTGGGATGGAGTTTGCTTTGGTTTGGGAATTTTCTTTTCTTTTTGATGTATTTATTTATTTATTTTAGAGAAAGAGGGAGTGCGAATAGGGGTGAGAGGGAGAGAGGAATCCCAAGCTTACTCCACGCTGAATGCAGAGCCTGTCGCAGGGCTCGATCCCATGAACCCGAGATCATGACCTGAGCCAAAACCAAGAGTTGGATGCTCAACCAACTGAGCCACAGAGGTGCCCCGGTTTGGGGACTTTTCCAGAGCTTTGGGGTCTGGCTGGAACAGGGTCTTCCTTCCTTACCAGCTGTGCAGGCTCAGGCAAGTTGCTTAATGTCACCCATGCCTTGGCTCCCTCATCTGGAAAATGGGACTAAGCATCCCTAACTTATCTAGTTGTGGGGCACACTCTTTCCACCTCCAACAACGTCTGTTGAACTGGAACCTCGGATTCATGGGCAGGATGTATCCTCCTTCACCTGGGATACTGGGGAGAAGCTCTTAGTTCAGAATGGCTCAGTGCCTAGGGAGACGGAGGTCTGAGTTCAGTTCCTGGTTTCATCTTTAATCAGCCCTTGGTCAAGTCCCTCCAAGTGTTTGAGCCTCAGTTTCCTCCTCTGTCCAAACTGTACCTCTGTTACAGGGCAGTTAAGACATTTCAACATAATAATGCATGGAAAGGGCCTAGCTGGGTGCTTTACACTGAGGACATGCTCAGAAATGTGAGCTACCATCACCAGCATCACTGACTGCAGGCCTACTATGTGCCTGGCACTCTGGTGGGGGGGGAGGCACACAGGCGAAAACAAAGCACGGGTTCCGTTCCCAAGGATTTTGGAGTTTCCTTGAACATCGGACTTCAGACGCTTTGCTCCTGCCACTCTGCCATTTGAGTGGGGCCTTAAAGGTAGGTCAGATTTGAGTGGGGGGTGGGAGGGTGGGGGGCTGGGGATGGAAGGGAGGAGGGGCCTTGTGGATGCGGAGCCAGGGAAGCAAAGCCTGGGAAATGGGGGCATGTAACACATGAATGGGAAACTGAGAGTATTTTAGTTTGGTTCCACTGGGGCCTCTTCTGGTCCATCTCTCACAGATCTTAGCTAAAATACATTAGGTACCTACTGTGCACCTCTCTGAGGACTTTGTAGCCAATACCTTATTGAATCTGCACGGTAAATAAAAAGGTCACTTTTGCCATCCCCTTTTCTTTTTTTTTTTTT